GAGAGGCAGTGGTACTACTACTGCTTGCTGGGATGCGGCAGAGCAAAGCAGCAGCAAGGTCCGCGAAACTCAGGGCTATCGGCATCCCACAGGTTTGTGCACACCTGTGGATGCCTTTGCTGCCAACTCAGAGCTCCCGTGACCTCACCACTGCCTCACTGCATCCTTGAGAATGAAGTGTTGCTGCTGCTGGGACAACGCCACTGCCACTGCCACTCTACACACACACACACACACACACACACAACACACAGCCATCCTGCTGTTGATTAAATGGCAGGATATTTAACTATCTCAAGACTTGCAGGGGACAATCACTTGTTGCAAATCATGTTATAAGCACTTGTTGGGACAATTTGTGACCCGTCATAGTTTGTGACACAGCCCACCAAACGTGCAAAGTGGCTCACGAAGCCCTTCTTTTTGCTACCAGTCCACAGAATAGGTGCAGCTGTGGGGCAGGGATGTATTTTTCCAGCAACTCCATTCTACACTTTGGGTTTCATTCAACTGACTGTTAACCTACTGACTGTAAACCTATTCAAATTAAGGAACCCAAGTTAGTAATGGCCATTTGTTTCAATGGGTCTACTGTGAGTAAAGGTTAGTTGAATACAACCAATAGGCTTTGGGAAATATGCTTGTAGAGTAGGAAAAGGTTTTCTGGGTCACTGCAACCAATGAAAAGAAAATACAATTTCTCAAGTGAAAATAAGATGTTTTCATTGCATCTTGTTTAGATTACTTACTGCAGTGAGCAGTTAGCTGCCTTTGGAGACTGTTCAAACACTGCAGATATGTTAGCTGAGGCTAGCCGGGTGGAGGAGCAGCTACAATGACTATGAGTGATTTTCCAAGCACAGTGCAAGGTGCTAGTTTTAACCTAAAAGTGCTAAAATGTTTGGAACCAGGGTATCTAATGGACCATCTTTTCCCACATGAACTTGTCTGGCCATCAAGATTGGCTTTAGAGGCCCTGCTCTTTTGCCAACTGAAATTACACAATTGGGGACAGGAGGCAGGCTGTTTCAACACTGTATTCATTTTTACATTAGATTTTAATTGCCTGCTGTATTTTACATTTATTGTTGTTGATTAGATTGTTATTACTTTACTGTACTGTTATGTTTTCCATCCTATGTTTTTGCCATGGTTAAAGACTGGCTACTAAATATGTTGAACAAATCAATCAATCTATCAATCTGCAAAGAGCCTGAGTGGGGATTTATTCCTGATTCTCCCTCATACAAATCCAGCATTCTAGCCATCCCACAGAAACAAAACAAAACAAGAAATTGAATGGTGGCTAAAACTAATTTAACACAAGGTCATGGTGCAATTGGATTGTCTTTAAGCCCAGTAAAAAATATACATTCCCAGTCTTAGTATCTCAAAGTGCACAAAACACAGTGCTTTGTATGCCTGGCATATGCACAGTATTGCTTCCAAACTCCAAAGCGCCAGAGAAAACTCATGCAGGATGTGCCTGTGGCCTGGATAGATGGACTCAGATAAGCTTTATCCTGGTTTGACCTCAAAAGCTGACTGCCATTTACCCTGCAATTTAAATCACACTTCGTAAAGGATGCATTACAATAATAAGCAACAATGCTAAGTATCACTTTAAATATGGCTTTCTCACAAGTTTTCCTCTGGACACTCTCCTATTCCTAAGGAAAAGGTAATAAATGTGGCCTACAGTAGAATGAATTGTCTGCTGCCTCCTCAAACTGGCTAGAAATCCCATAATCCCAGGCTGCACTATTCATGTAATTTACTTTCCCTACTGCTATTCAAGGCAAAGGAATCCAGCTGCAGATTGTAAACATAAACTTATAACCACTATACTAGAAATGCTCTTCTCTGCCCTGCCCTGCATTCCACCATTTCCTGGACAGGATACTACTGCCTATTCACAAAGTGGGTGTCCAATTTGTGGGTACTTTAGACACCAAAACAATAAAGTAATCGCAGGGTGAGAGCCTGAATAGGACCCTGCATAGAGGGAAGGCTCACTCAAATGTGCAGAAAAATCTTGGATTTCTTTACAAAATAAATAATAAAATGGGGAGAGGGAGAACTGTATGCCACCTAGAGCTCCTTCCAGGAAAGGTGGAATATAAATTGAATAAACATTTTTTTAAGGCAAATATATTTTCCACACATACACAGCCACTCTTCAAAAACTACAAAAAATTAGCTCTGTGCTGATGTTCAGGCCTCTGGTTGCCTGGAAACAAAGAGTAGCACACCGGTGATCAGAAGAGAGATTTAGGGCCAAGATTAATATTATCTGTGATTGCATTTAACACGTCTGTTGCTATTGTTCTTTTAAGTAGCAGCTGCAAGGTGGCAGGTCGGTAGAACCAGGACTAGAGTGTACATGGAGGGTTGTTTAACCTTTTAACCGCATGTACCAATGAAAGTTGTCCCATCTCTAATTCCTATTTGCACTGAGTAGAGAAGATGCTATTAGTGGATGATTTGGGGGAAAGTGTACTGGAGCATGAAGAGAAAAGGTTAAAAACTTCTCCCCACACAGTGAAGTCATGATCCTGAATGGCTCTTGGGACAATTTTTTTTGTTTTTTAGAAATGCATTACATTCAGTGCAAATATGCATTTAACACACAACTTGCTGTTTGACCATTTGGCTGAAGTAAAGCAAGTAGACTGCAAATCACTTTCCCTATACAGGGAGGACCTGGGGGTAAAAGAACAGCCCCTTTAAAGTTTAGATGCCTCAGATAATACCTTCAGACACTCATTTTCTGAGTCCAAATTCTCCCCTGCCCACACAATCCTTTAAACTGTTAGGAGACTCTTCTTACAGTTTAAAGGATGGTTGCAAACTGGCCTCAGAAGTATACCCCCATTCCCTGCCTTATAGAAGCCTCTGTGAAAGCCAAAGGGGAAAGAAAACAAGCTCCCACACTGATCACAATGCTGTTGGAGCATTATTTGCTTTGCTGATGCCTGGACCCAAGACAACCCCTCACGAGGCCAAAGTGGTTTCTGATGTATTGTGACACTGTCCTTTGAAGGTGATGCACTGCAAACAGATGTCTGTGCTCAGATGCTCCAAAGCCAATGCACAACATCCAAACTTGCAAGTCTGCTTCTGCCCCTAAGTTGTCTTAGCTCAACTGTTACTAAAAACCCACTCTCTTTTTTATAGTAAAAATGGAGGTGGCATGTAGCAGAAAAAAGATGAAGAACTTTTCATGGAGCTGCATTTGTTTATTCATTATTCCTGTGCCTGCTATGGACATAATAAGCAGCAGTCAGCCAAGGAGACACTCAGCTGGATTGTATGAACGTTCATCAGCTAATTTTGTGTGTGTGCATGTGCGCGCATGTGCCTACACATACGCACCCCAGGAGGCATGGAAGCAGTAGCATGAATTATATAGTAGCCATTTCAAACTGAGGCATAATTTTAGAGTGCTTTTAACTTATGGTTGTAATTACCAAACCCAGAAAGTTTGCTATACCACTAAATATTACCACCTTTAATATTACCATCTGGGGTTTCTTGACTGTTCAGATGAGTTGCCATGCATGACACACAAACTAGCATAACATCAAATTTGTATGCATTAAATCAGTAGCTTTGAATCTGTGCCTTTCTAAAATACTCAGATGGGCAGAGATTTTTGTGGCTCAATGTTCTTTTCAATATGCAAATAGAGTATTGTTATTTTTAAAAATAAACACCAAAAGCACTTCCATCAATTACACACAACTATTTTATAAATTTTATAAAGTACTCACCCTAAAGGGCTGGTCTGGAATAAATGGAAAGTAAGGAAGAGATGATTGTTCTTCTCCCCATTCACCAGATACACAAGAATTCCTGAGAAACTGTCTGTCCGAGAATATGGCTTTCAGTTCAATAGCTACGTCAGCAGGAGGATCTTCTGAGTCCCCACATGTGAGACTGATGTCAAAACTGTAATGGGAACAGTAGCCCACTCATTCACCCAAAATAAAGCAATAAAATCCAGGATGTAGCACACTTGGCTTCTAAGCCTGTACAAATACATTTTACTGGTATTGACAACAGCTGGCACACAGGTATAGTATGTGTGTAGACAAGTTTTCCTGCTAGGCTCCCTAATCTTTTTTTTTACAGTCACTTTGTATATTATATGCTTCTCCTGCCAGGGGTGCCGACTTGAATAAAATATGGCGGGGCGGGGGAGTAGGTAAGCCCCACCCTGCATCACGTGACATGGTGCATGCACACTATTTGAATGGCAATGCCCATCAACATTGCAGGGGTTGGCCCCCTGAAATATTTTATGGGAGGCAAAGACCCCTCCCCCCAGAAGTTGGCTCCTATGTCTCCTCCCCCCCCAAAAAAAAAAAACCCCTCATGGAGATGATCTCCACTTAGAAAACATATCATGTGTGAAGCAACCGTTACAGAGGCCACATGAAATTTTGGGAAACAATGACCTTCTCTTATATAAATACATCCGCTGCCATGGGTCAAAGGAGAAAGCAGCATTCTATATTTACATTGCAGATAAAAATAGCTTGTCTTGAGAAATGATGGGTGTTTGGCAAGCACATTCTTTTTATTTTTATGCAATCACAGCTTTTCTTGCAGACCTTAGATAGACTGAAGACAGAAACTGGGCCAGTGGAAAACAAAAGCCTTCCGTCTTGTCTTATTACCTCTCTGGGTTGAGATCCACAATGCCCATTACCAAGATCTTCTTGCCTGGCCTCATCCCTCCTTTGATGTGCCCACAGAATGGGACAATCTGGAAAAGGATTGCAAGGATTCAGAATGAACAGCCGCTTATACCATCGGGGCAGAAAGGGCTAAATCACAATACAGTACAGGGAGAGGGAAGCAGGGAGGAGAAGGCATCAAAAAAAGGAAAGGGGGGGGACATTACCAGGCGTGGAAAATACACTTCTGCTTGCACCGGAGATCCCAATGAGTTGTTCAAATGCCCGTCTTCTATTTTCTGGAGACAAAAACAAGCGCACACTCAAGAAGCCCCCTTTGTATTCCGCCCCAGGGGAGAGAGAAGGGGGCACCCTGGGAGCAACAGAGAGCGCCAATTTCATTTCAAGTCGGAGCGAGAAGCCCTATTTCCCTCCAGCCCCTTTGCAAAACAAAGGGTGTCGCCTGCTTCTCGCGATTTCCCAGCAAGTGCTGCAGGTAGCAGAGAAATCCATGCTGCTCCGTCCGCGGAGATGGAGCAGGCCTGCCAAGATCGCCCAGATCTGGCGCCCCGAGAGAGATCCCACCTGAAGGCTGGCAGGGGAAGAAGGAGGGCCAAAGCCCCCCCCCCCGGGTCCCTTTCCCCTCACCCGCTTTGTGGGCACGGGATCCTCCCGCCACTGCAAACAGGTATTCCGACCCCCCCCCTTCAAGCGCCCACCTGGCGCCGGGGGGAAGGAGGGATCCCGGCGAGACCCCCCCCCGCTCCCGCCCCAGAAGAGGCCCCCCTGCGGAGCCCGAGCAGGTGCCGCCACTCACCACCGCGTCCCTCTCGGCCACCGATCCCGCCATCTTGTGGCTCCGCCCGGGGAGGGAGACGGGGCGCCGGGCGCCTCAGACGTGCCTGGCCGAGCGCGGGCAAAGCGCCGCCGGAGCCGACCGGGCAGGAGGAGGGAGGGGCGAGGCCGGGCCCGGACGGGAGGAGCTCGAGGGCGCGGCGCGCGGAGCTGGAGCTGAGGCGGCGAGGAGGAGGAGGAGGAAGAAGAAGGCGGGCGGCGGGCGGGCGGGCGAAGCGAGGCTGCTCCTGGGTGCCAGGCGGGAGGCGGCCCGGCAAGCCCTGCCCGGCGGCGGCGCAGGGCAGGGACCGGGAGGCGACGCGCCCAGGCTGCTCCCCTCGCCGGGCTGCCTTGGCGGGGGGGGGGCCTGGATGGAGAGGCGCCTCGCTTTCAGCCCGGAGAGTTTTGCACCTGGGGGCCGCCCGAGGCCAGAGAGCGGGCCGGGATGGCGCCTCGCAGCCCAAACCCCACCGACTCCACGTGCAGAGCGTGCCACGGCGGGGGGGGGGGCGCCAAAGGTTGTTTTCCTCGGCTATTCGCTGCCTTCCAAAAAAAATTTTTTTGCCAAGCTTGTAAAGCTAAGTTGCAAGCGCGTAAGTTGCGGGCTGACTGTAACATACCCCCTATTTGTTGGCCCTGTATTTGTTCCTTTTTAATTCCGTGGCTGGCGCAGCACCCAGAAATAATCAAGAAATTGTTGTGCTTTCTAGTATCTTATTTCTGTCCCATTTAAAAATATAAAAGGCAACCCATGTTCCTTAGGCTTCCAAAGAATTCATGAGAGCAGTGGCTCCTCTGTAAGAGGCTTGTTTGTACACTTGGAAGATTTGAGAAAGTGGTCCTGTTGTCTGAGTTTTCCATCCTTGGATCAGCTTTCTGTGTCATGATTATCATTTTCACTCCAGAATCCAGGGGGCTCAAAGATTTCCCACCGTGAACAATTAACATACACCACTGTCTTGTGCCTCTGCAGGCGTTCCTACAGACTTGGGCCAGCCCTGCCATTAGGGAGAATGAGACTACTGTCGCTTTACCCCACATAAGCTCACTTGACAGCTTGGATCTGCCACATAATATTCACTGTGCACTTGTAGGAAATCAGCCTTTTTGTGTGGAAGCACCTGTACATTGGAACTCCCTGCAGGTGTTTTCACTGTACTGTTTTCAGTGCCCACTTAAAACATGGTGCCTTCTTACATAGTTCTAGGCACCAGGCAAAAACATTTCTCTTCCCCCAGGCAGTTAGTTGGCTGATAAAACTATCTATGGCCTTTTAAATGTGTTGCGGGGTATTGTTGGTGGTGGTATGTTTGCTTATTATGTTATGTGTTTTGTGTTTTTATATTGCAAGCTACTCTGTGATATTTGGATGAAGGGATAAATTTTATTCTTAATAATAATAATTGTTTAGGCAGTTCTATGCAAATGTGTTTTATTTGTTTCTAAACTAGAGTAGGGACGCAGGTGGCACTGTGGTTTAAACCACCGAGTCTCTTGGGCTTGCTGATCGTAAGTCCAGCAGTTCAAATCAGTGTGACGGGGTCTGCTCTTGTTGCTTTCTTCCAGCTCCTGCCAACCCAGCAGTTTGAAAGCATACCAGCCCAAGTAGGTAAGATAAGGTAAGGTGAATGGCGTTTCCGTGTGCTCTGGCACTTATCACGGTTGAACCAGTAGCAATTTAGCTCTGCTTGCCACATGACCCGGAAAACTGTCTGCGGACCAACGCCGGCTCCCTCAGCAGGAAAAGCAGAGATGAGCACCCCACCCCATAGTCAAATTCAACTGGACTTAACCATCCAGGGGTCCTTTACCTTTTTTTACCTTAGCTAGAGTTAATTTGCGGGGCGTGGGTGGTGCTGTGGTCTAAACCACTGAGCCTAGGGCTTGCCAATCAGAAGGTTGGCGTTTCGAATCCCCGCAACGGGCTGAGCTCCCGTTGCTCAGTGCCTGCTCCCACCAACCTAGCAGGGGAAGGTAGGTGGGAAGGTAAACAGCGTTTCCATGCGCTGCTCTGGTTCGCCGGAAGTGGCTTAGTCCTGCTGGCCACATGACCTGGAAAAACTGTCTGTGGACAAACGCTGGCTCCCTCGGCCAGTAAAGCGAGATAAGCGCTGCAACCCCAGAGTCGTCTGCGACTGGACTTAACTGTCAGGGGTCCTTTACCTTTTAGAGTTGATTTGAGTAATCTTTTAAATATATTAAATACCTGTTTTAAACTGTTCCCCGCCCCCTGATAATTTTAGCGTTGGATTTTATATTGCCTAGAGAGTGGTTTTTCCCCAAACTCTCAAGTGTTATATTTTCATTAATTAATGAAATAAATAAATGCAGGGAGCGGGGCATCCTCCATGTGCTGCACCCCCAGAAGTAGTCTGCTGCCCTCAGGAGTGGGGGAGGATGCTGTGAAGTGAGATTCCACTCACAGTCCAGTCAGCTTTGTTTGTGGAATGAGGGCAGGAAGGAGAGAGGCACCATCTTGTCCTTCATCTCAGGCAGCTATATATTATTATCATAACTGGAGAACCTTAGGACAACATTACTCAATCTATTCTAGCCTAACTTGCAAAGGCCTGGATACAAATGGTAAAGTAACACTTGAATTTCTGTGCATTTTAAGAAGTAATTTTTAAAAATTGTTTAGGACCTGCATCCCTTAGGATGGCCTTGTGCTCCCAACAGCCTCCCAGAGCTGGTATCCTCTGCATGACTGGCAAAGGCATGTAGAGAGGCATTTCTGGTGGCTCTTCTCCAGCTTTAGAACTCCCTTCCACTGGAAGTCTTTAAAAGGTATGGGAGAAGCTTAGAAAACTATTGCAAGACCCTGAACGCTGTCAGACAGCCGTTGCCTGTCAGGTGTAAGCAGGAGGTTCTCTTAACAATAGGTTTTTAAGCTTCCATTAGCTTATGGGTTAGGGTGGAGGAATATATTTCACAGAAACTGGAATAATAATAATAATAATAATAATAATAATAATAATAAATTTTATTTATATCCCGCCCTCCCCAGCCGAGCCGGGCTCAGGGCGGCTAACAACAGTCAAATAACAATCAGATAATAGCACATTCTAAAAATATTTCGTTATAAAAAATTAGTTAAAATCAAATTGATGGCAACCGATTAAACAAAATTCTGTGCAGGTTGCCGGAGGAGGGAGTCAGGCTGCGCCCTGACCAAAAGCTTGGCGGAACAACTCTGTCTTGCAGGCCCTGCGGAAAGATGTCAGATCCCGCAGGGCCCTAGTCTCTTGTGACAGAGCATTCCACCAGGTTGGAGCTGCAGCCGAGAAGGCCCTGGCTCTAGTTGAGGCCAGCCTAACCTCTCTGAGGCCTGGGACCTTGAGGGTGTTATTATTTGTGGACCGTAGGTTTCTCTGTGGGGCATACCAGGAGAGGCGGTCCCGTAGGTACGAGGGTCCTAGGCCGTATAGGGCTTTAAAGGTTAAAACCAGCACCTTAAACCTGATCCTGTACTCCACCGGGAGCCAGTGCAGCTGGTATAGCACCGGATGAATGTGATCCCGCAGCGAAGACCCCGTAAGGAGTCTCGCTGCGGCATTCTGCACCCGCTGGAGTTTCTGGGTCAGTCTCAAGGGCAGCCCCACGTAAAGCGAGTTACAATAATCCAGTCTGGAGGTGACCGTCGCATGGATCACAGTGGCTAGGTCAGGGCGAGAGAGATAAGGGGCCAACTGCTTAGCTTGGCGGAGATGGAAAAATGCCGCCTTTGTTATAGCTGTAATCTGCGCCTCCATAGAAAGGGAGGTATCGAAGATTACACCCAAACTCTTAACGGACGGTGCTGGCACTAATTGCACCCCCGCAAGAGATGGGAGTTGCCCCCTCGATCCCATATCGTCCCGCCCCAGCCAGAGGACCTCTGTCTTCGAAGGATTTAACTTCAACCGGCTCCCACGTAACCATCCAGCCACAGCTTCCAGACATCTGGTCAGTGTGTCTGGGGCCGAGTTAGGATGGCCATCCATCAACAGATAGAGTTGGGTGTCATCAGCATACTGGTGGCAACCCAGCCCAAAACTCCGGACAAGCTGGGCGAGGGGGCGCATAAAGATGTTAAAAAGCATCGGGGAGAGAATCGCACCCTGAGGCACTCCACACACCAAGGAGTGACGCGATGACAATTCCCCCCCAAGCGCCACCCTCTGTCCCCGATCAGAGAGAAACGAGCGCAGCCATTGAAGGACTGTGCCCTGGATCCCCACGTCGGCAAGGCGGTGGTCCAGGAGTTCGTGATCCACCATGTCAAAGGCTGCTGACAGATCTAGAAGAATCAGCAGCCCCGACCCGCCTCGATCCAGCTGCCTGCGGAGATCATCTGTTAGGGCGACCAGAGCCGTCTCGGTCCCATGACCAGCACGGAAGCCGGACTGGAATGGATCCAAAGCAGATGTTTCATCCAGAAACCTACCAAGCTGTTCAGCAACCGCTCTCTCAATCACCTTACCCAGGAATGGAAGATTCGAGACCGGGCGGTAATTGGATAGATCTAAGGGATCTAACGATGTTTTCTTTAAGAGCGGACGCACCACCGCCTCCTTCAATTCCCCTGGGAATATCCCGGTGCCAAGGGACAAATTGATGATATCCCCCAGGGGGGCCCGCACCTCGTCTGGACACGCTCTAATCAGCCATGACGGGCACGGGTCAAGAGGACAGGTGGTGGGCTTTCCAGCTTGGAGGAATCTGTCCACATCGGCTGGAGATATCCGGTCAAAGTGGTCCAATACTGGACCCGAGGACAGTCGAGGGGCCTCCAGTTCCTTTATTGTATCCAAATTGGCAAGGAGGTCATGGCGGAGCAACAGGACCTTCTCCGCAAAAAAGCTCGCAAATGCCTCACAGCTGTGTGTCCGATTGTTATTTAAATTTGGCTGTCCTTCAAGGGACGTTAATGACCGGATTATACTAAATAATTGCGCCGGGCGAGAGCTAGCGGATGCAATGGAGGCCGAGAAGTAAGACTTCTTAGCGGCCTTCACTGCCATCTCATAGGTTTTCATAAAAACCCTATAAGATGTTCTTGAGGCTCCGTCACGGGCACCCCGCCATACTCGCTCTAGCCGTCTGAGGTCCCGCTTCATTTTCCGAAGCTCCTCGGTAAACCAGGGAGCCCGGTTTCTGCGGGGTCGCAGAGGGCGCTTAGGTGCGATCTCATCGATGGCTGCCAGGAGCTGGGTATTCCAGCCCTCAACAAGCTCAGTCAATGAGTCGCCAGGGGGAGCAAGGTCCCGCAAGGCTTGACGGAATCTATCAGGGTCCATCAGCCTCTGCGGGCGAGCCCAAATCGGCTCGCCACCTAAGCAGGGTGGGGGTGGAAAGTCAATCCTGGCTTTCAGAGCGTAGTGATCAGACCATGGCACCTTCATCGAGGGAGACATGATCACATCTATACCGGCGCCAAAGATCAAATCCAGCGTGTGGCCTGCTTGATGTGTGGGGCCCGAAACAAACTGGGAGAGCCCTAGTGTCGCCATGGAAGACACCAGGTCCAGAGCCTGTGAGGAGGGAGTGGCATCAGCATGGATGTTGAAGTCCCCCAATACCAATAGGTTAGGGAACTCCAAGGCCCAGCCGGCCACCGCCTCCAATAGGCCTGACAGGGTGGCTGCTGGTGCGCTAGGTGGCCGGTACACCAGCCAGACAGCCAAGCTCTCCTCGGAGCCCCACACTAGGCCAACACATTCAATGCCGGGGATCGATGGCGATGGCAGAGCCCTGAAAGAACAGTCTTCTCGGATTAATAATGCCACCCCTCCCCCCCGGCCCACAGTCCGCGACTGGTGGAGGACGGAGAAACCCGGGGGCGCCATCTCTCGTAAGGTAACAGTTTCCCCTTCGCGCACCCAGGTCTCCGTCACACAAGCCAGGTCAACCCCCTGCGAGGTGAAGAAGTCTCGCAGGGTGGCGGTTTTTTTGCCTATAGACCTGGCATTGCACAACACCAGTGACGGAGGTGAGTAGTCCTTGCTCACCCTACCTTCGTCCCTCGGGATGGGGCGCAGATTGGAAGGGGTACGAGCATATCCATATCTCGATCCCCTTCGCCTATGACATCTGCCCCCACCGCCATAATAAATGTAGGCACTTGTTCTTTTGGTCTTGGGAGATTGGTTTCCAACAACTTGCACCAAGGCTGGAATTTCAGCAAGAAACTCCCAGTTGTATAAAACAGAAACTAGGGTTCAATACTCATTGCTTTGACTTTCTGTGGGGATTTCTTTGGGGGCGTGAGATACATAAATATTCATGGTTATATTTATTAGAGAAAAGCACTTTTTTACAAGTACAGTGGTACCTCAGGTTACATACGCTTCAGGTTACAGACTCCGCTAACCCAGAAATAGTGCTTCAGGTTAAGAACTTTGCTTCAGGATGAGAACAGAAATTGTGCTCCGGCAGCACAGCGGCAGCAGGAGGCCCCATTAGCTAAAGTGGTGCTTCAGGTTAAGAACAGTTTCAGGTTAAGTACGGACCTCTGGAACGAATTAAGTACTTAACCTGAGGTACCACTGTAGTAACACACAATGATTGAGGAGCCACTCTTCAGATATGATATTACACTTCAATATTCTTTGAAGATTGTGCTTAACCTTTTTCATAAACAGAAGGGCATCCTGTGGTTTTAAAGAAAACTATTAAAGTTTTTTGGGTTAAAAAGTACATACATTATCTATTTTCCAGTCTCAGTCTTTTCTACTGATCAGTTACATTCGATGTGAGACATTAACGTATACAGTATAAGGTTGGGGAGGAAAGGGGGAGAGGTGTGGTAAATTTACATTATTGTACTTAGTGTATGTGTGAGGTTTTTGTGTCAGCATCACTTGGGTAGGTTCTCTGTCTGTTCATTTATTATTTTTCTTGGCAGTGAGAGGGGTGGGGGGGCAGGGCATAGTTGGTTGCCTTTAGTTGACTGCAATGAGATTTGTTTGCATGGTTGGTAGGGAGGAATTGTTGGGTCAAGTTAGCCATATTGATTTGTATTCTGTCAGTAGGTTGCCTTGTTGGGCTGTGTGTGTAATAAAGGGGAGCCGTATCAGGTGAAGGCATCCTCTTTTATTTGTCCCTGGGTCAGTTTCAGTCTGTTGGTTAACTTTTCTAGTAAGGCTTTGGTACCAGTGTTCCATGTTCACTTCTGATAGGTCTCTACAGTGCCTAGCTATGATGCTTGTGGCTGCTCTTTATAGTAGTAGTAGCTCTTTATAGTGTGAGTGAGCATTAGTGTCTTGGAAAATATTCAATAAGGCCAGTTCTGAGGTGGCTTCCAATACCTTTTTAGTTATTTTGCATATTTCTTGTAGGACTGCCGTCAAAAGAGGTTGGATTTGGGGGCATTTCCACCACATGTGGAGGTATGTGTCTGTAGAGGTGCAGCATCTTCAGCATTTTGGTGAGGTTCCTGGGTGTATCAGTGCCAGTTTCCCTGGTGTTGAGTAGCATCTGTAGGTAAGTTTCAAAGTAAGCTCCCTTCTTATGGCTGAGATGTATTTAAAGGGAGGTTAAGACCACATTCTAGTCCATTGGGTAAGGTTTATTTTGTAGCCTATGTTGTGCTCCCATTTTGTTTTATTTGGTTTTTGCGTCTGGGGGGTTTGTGGGATTCTGAAGCAGTATCTTGTATATTGTGGATACCACCCCCTTGCCGTGTCCCTCTGCTGTCAGGAGAAGGTTTTTGAAGGTGGTCAAGAGGCTAGTGGTTGCTGATTTCACTGCAGGATTGTTTAAGAAGACCTGTAGTTGGTGGTGTGTTAGCAAGAGTATTTGGTGTCCTCCAGTTTGTCTTGTACGTATTTCTTGTGTCGATATGGGTTTGTTATTTTTACCAAAGTCTACTAGGCAGTATAGGCCTTTGGAAGTTTTGTGCTGTGTGATGGAATAGTGGGGGCATTCAGTGGTTTTGAACTCATTTCAGGTTCGGCTGGGGAGGGCAGGATATAAATAAAATTTTGTTGTTGTTGTTGTTGTTGTTACTGAAGTGTTTGATTCCACTCTCAAGGACTGAGACAAAATTAAGGGCCTCAGTTTCACTCCTGATTAAAGAAGTTGAAGTACATTTTTGTGAGTACCCCTGCACTATGTATAGCCATATAGGGGGTTTTTTCAGACAGAACTCACTGGAACTCAATTCCAACACCTCTCAATTGGGCGCCATTGCAGAACAAGGGGAAATAGTACTGGCTACCCCCAGAGCGAAGACCACTCTCGCAGATACTCAGTCACAGAAAGAAAGAAAGAAAGAAAACATTTTAATAAGTAGCATTTTGCACAGAAAAATCAAAAATATTTCCACATTCTTTTATCTATGTCACAAAGACTTTTATCTATGTCACAACTTAGACAGCAAATGGATTGTCCATACAGTGGTACCTCAGGTTACAGACGCTTCGGGTTACAAACTCCGCTAACCAAGAAGTGGTTGCTCCAGGTTAAGAACTTTGCCCCAGGATAAGAATGGAAATTGCGCACCAGCGGCACAGCGTCAGCAGGAGGCCCCATTAGCGAAAGCGCGCCTCAGGTTAAGAACTGTTTCAGGTTAAGAATGGACCTCTGGAAGGAATTAAATTCTTAACCCAAGGTACCACTGTACTAGTATTCTCTTTGATCATTTCAAGAGTTTTTTTTAGTTTCTGGCTGCCATTTACGAAAAAGGAATGTAGCCTGATCAGGATTTTGGTGTGGCATAATTACACTGGATGTATTACACCATAGCAGTCTGATATTGTGTGCTATGCTTAGACTCATTTGCGTTGCCTATCATGTCTTTTGTTGTAATGATGTGACAGTTTGCAGGTTCCATAATGAGTCCCTTTAGTTTCAGGGTGGAAAGATGTAACAGCATTCTGGAAAAGATGAGCAACAAGTAAGAAGAAAGTCTGGCAAGAGTTTGAGTCATCTGAACAAACAAGTGCCAAGCCAAAATTTCTTGAATATGGAAAATTCTAGAGAAATAAACATTTACAAAAGCATCTCCTGGCATTTAGTGAATTACCGCCCACTATTCCTGTTTTGATGGCAATTAATAATTCAGACAGTACCATAGTTGGACCTGAAAACCAGTGCCAAATTAAGGACGAACAACCAATTAAAATTTTGTGTGAGTACATAAGGTCAAAGATTGTCTAGGCCCTTTTGGTTATGCTGAAAGTTTGGGAGTGGCCCACGGCCATTTCTCCCTTATGATCATGGCCAGGCACTATTCAATCTCTTGTATTCAATGAAAGAAACACTGTAAATCTCAACAGTTTTTTTAGAACTGCCACAACTAAGCTTCCCAGCTCAGGTCCCTTAATGACAGTATGGCAGAGAAAACTTTAGAAGTGAGGAAAGTATAGAAAACATTGGCAATGTACACATTTGTTTTTTCTCAAGTTAAGAGCTCAGTCTGGCTGCTTAGCAAATAAATAATGTTCTTACTAAGGCTTCCTAATCTTTAAGGTAATTAGCAGAGGCCAAGGAAGAATCAAATGGTGATGTTTCATGAAGTTCCATAATAACAAAGAAGATATAGCAATGCTACGTCACAAATACGAAACTGGATATGTTGTCTGGCCCAAAAGGGTTGGCACCTGAACTTGTGGACCACATACCATCTGACGTGCTCACAGAAACACACCCTCTGCACAACCACCCACTCACTCTTGATCATGGTGCGCATGGCATAGCATCAGCACAATTGAAGCAAGAAGGCAATTAACATGTCTGTTTAATGTGACAGGAATTCTGTGAAGGGAAATATGAACTTTACCTAGGGACAGGTGTGGCCCTACTGTGATGTGATCTCAATGATGCCTCTCCCAGTGAAGCTCTGAAACAGGTTTGTCTCATTGTTGATTTCTCTTGATCCAGAAACACTTAGCCCAGCTTCTTTTCTTCCCCTTGCCCAAATTAAGTTTATTACAAAACATACAAGAAGATAAAAGGAAGAAACCACTTTCCAAAACTTCAGTGCAGTTTATGGACTTGAAAGAGACCTTCAGCAGAAAACAGATCAATATAAACAAATGAGAAAAATGAACAAGCATAGTCTGGAAAGCAAACCTTATGAGGAACGGTTGAAGGAGCTTGGTATGTTATTTATGTGTACATTATTTATATATAAATTCCATTCCCGCCCTTCCTCCCAAAGGAGCTCAAAGTGACAATAAAAACAGGAAAATAAAGCAATAAAATAAAAAGGTTTTATAGCATCTGAAAACATTTCAAAATGTTTTAACATCTGGACACATTCATAGACAATTTACTCAAACAAAATTTAAAAACCAGCCTATCTATTTGCTTTCAGTCTCATAAGACTTTGAGTCATGACTTCTCTATTTGCAACCACCGCCAACAAGTATTTAAATCTCCTGTCATTACAAAAGGTTTCATTTACATTTTTATAGTGCGCATTTGCTCCTTACAAACTATGTCAACCACAAAGTCACAAACAATTGCCCCATTTTTGGATAGCATACAGGGGAGGCTCCATTTTTTACATAAACATGCAGCTGAAGTAAGGACAGCCATTTTGAGCAGATCCCAAAGCAGGCAGCTCCAGAAGGAGTTTTGTTAACGCACAGCAATGGCCCACTGTGATTTTGTAGTGGCAGCTGGGGATTTGCTTGCACCTATTATTTGGCTTTTGTATCCTCCTAATTTCCTTCCTAATTTCTAGATGCCCAAAGTTTTTACTAGTGCATTGGGTCCTTCCTTCACAGGTGGTCAACAGCTTAGCTGGCACTTTATACAGAATATTCATGCCTACCTATTCACAGCTATATTTGAATTTTAGAAGTACAATTAATAATTGACCTAATTACCAGTAGACTATGCTCAGAACCAATTACATGTCCTTTATCTTTTGGTGATGTAACCTGAATGGGTGTGTCCAGTCTGGTTTGCATTTAATAAGATGTTCATTTCTAACTTGATCATAGTTGCATTTCAGTTAATAACTTAATAACAGTGAATAATAACATGTTTCTGAAAATGGTTGTTTACCCCTGCTGAAACTCATTCTCCTGTGTAATGTTCTTCTGTTTCTAATTGGTACTTAGTCCTATCCAACAATCTTACTTTATAACCAAAGGATCCTGTGCCATCTCATTACCTTTGTGGGTGTGACGGAGGAAAAATGCAGGTTAATAACTTGAACACAAATGATTCTTATACATGGGAAATACCTAGACTGCAATCCACAAATACTACCAACTTGCATTTATACTTAATTAAAACTATTGATAGGGATGCGGGTGGCGCTGTGGTCTAAACCACTGAGCCTCTTGGGCTTGCCAATCAGAAGGTCGGCAGCTCAAATCCCCATGACGGGGTGAGCTCCTGTCGCTCTGTCCTGGCTTCTGCCAATGTAGTAGTTTGAAAGCATGTCAATGTGCAAGTAGATAAACAGGTACCGCTCCGGTGGGAAGGTAAACTGTATTTCTGTGCACCGCTCTGGTTTCTCCAGAAGCGGCTTAGTCATGCTGACCGCATGACCCGGAAAAACTGTCTGCGGACAAATGTCGGCTTCCTCGGCCAGTAAAGCGAGATGAGCGCTGCAACCCCAGCGTCGTCTGCAATGACTTAACTTTCAGGGGTCCTTTACCTTTACCTTTAAAATTATTGACAGCAATGGAGGCCTTCTGAATTAAATGCAAGTCTGCACATTTAAGAGGTCTGTTGCTAGCAACCATGGACTTCTGAAGTTCTTAGTGGTTCACAGTTTGCTTGGTTTTCTAAATAGGCCCGAAACAGATGCAACGTGTTTTCTTAAAAGCAAGTAGCAGTCAGCTGGGTCCCTGTTGCAACGCAGGACAGTGGTGGAGGGTAGGGGACCTATAACCCTTTGCTGCCACCAAGATTCCACTCCAGAAATTCTAGTTGACAGTGGTGGTAGGAGGGGAGGAAACAGAAATCATGTATGTGCAAATACACACCAGCTGGAGACAAGGTTGCTGATTGCATGTACAGAGGCTATGTGTGTACAGTTTTGTTTTGTTTTAATATCCTGCTCTTCAGGAAACACTTTCAGTGTGGTTCACAACAAGCTGGATCCTGCTTTAGGTGGACCCATTGAAAACCATGAGCCAATAGTTATTATTTCAGGGAGTCTGCTGCTCTAAGCATGACCCATTTTGGATACAAACCACTATTTAAAATTATTAAAAATACAAATCTAAATAAAATACAATTTACTGCAGCCATAGCAACAGAGCATAAAACCTTCATAAAGCCTCAGTAACAAATGACTGGGTGAACAAAAGGGTCTTCAAAGAAAAGCAAAAATCTTACGGGTTGTATCCAATGCCATCATTCTGCTTGAACAGTAGACTTCTCCCTCCTCATCTCTCCTCTCCCACATATCCCACACCCTCCAAATTCACTCCAGAGGGTTTGGGGACTTTCCAGTACAGATTTTGGAATTGTGTGGGGCAGGGTCGAATTTAGGTTTGATGAGGCCCTAAGCTACTGAAGGCAATGGGGCCCTTTATATGTACAGCTGTCCTTTGTCAACAAGAAATTGTCGCTGTTTTTTGTGTTGAATATATGCTATATGGTAATTTCTGGACCTAATAGGTAACAAACCCTATTTGCATATAACAAAATGTGTATTTTATCAAAGTAATTGTTTTTTATCTTATATTTTGGAAATGTACATCCAGGTCTTTTCCCTTTAAATTTTTTTGGGGCACCCAAGAGAGTGGGGCCCTAAACTATAGCTTGTTTAGCTTGTACGTAAACCTGGCACTGGTGTGGGGAGAAGGGAAGTTCTGCTGCATAAGTGGAACTCTGTATACGCAGCATTGGATATAACCCTATGAACTGGCCCCTTGTACATATACTGTATGCAGATAAATCTTCCACCCTTTGTGTCCTCCCTGCATAGCATTAAATAATGTGTGGCTGTTGTTTATGCATTGTACTTGTGGTGGATTGACTATCTTTAGAGAACCGTGCCTTTCATTAAAAATTCAAATGATAGAAACTGTCCTATGAGGTCAGTTGCTGGTGGAAACCCCATAATTGAACCTGAAGAGTCCTGCTTCTCTTTTTATTGAAAACTTTAGGCTTTTAAATGTTAAATATTCTATTAAAATGTAAAGAGACCTTTCAAATATTGCCGGTGTTGGCCTTTACAAAAATGTGTTTGAAGGTTATTCTCCTACTTTCAGGGACTCCTAAGTTGGGCAAATGTTTCATTCTGTTCCTCTCCTTTAAAATGCAAACATTCTTGTGCAATGAGCAATGCAGATTCCATTCTGCATCTTTAGCTTGAATTTAGCAGTGGCTGAGGACAGTGCTTTCTTTCTTCTAGAAAAAGATGCTGTTACTCACCATGAAATTGTTACAGTAAGTGCCACACTTTTTAACAACAACAACAAACAAGAGGTGTCGGTACTGCGCATCCTTAAGTACCCCCAGAAAAAAAGCACTGGTTGAGGGTAATGACTGTGCCACTAAAAGACACCCACTGACTGTGCTTTGAAAAAAGGCGTGAACAACTTCATGCTTCAGGGTGGAGGTGAACCAATCATAATGACCGCCCTTGGGAACCAAAACAAAATTAAAATAATGTGAAGAAGGAGGCTGGGTCAAAAGCTATTAATGCAATACAGGACCATTGTTGTGTTGAACCTCATTCGAGGAACTTGCATTGAGGTTTTTATTAATCAAGCAGCATATAAATATTATGAAGCAAGCAAGCAAAAAATAAAGCAACCAGCTATCTTCTCCGTGAGTTAAGAAGTTGTGAAAGTTAAATTGGTTTGTGAGCAAACATGTCTACACTACAAAATGAAGCTGAACCAGTTGTCATGGTTTGCCCTCCAAGAAAGCATTTCAATCAATTAATCAAGGACTTGTAATTCTGTAATAATCTAACACCACAATAATGTTGTGGAGAACTTTTTGCCTCATTGCTGATTTTGCATGCTTGCCAGGCACTGCCCATGCCAATGATATGGCAAGTCAAAGATACATAGTGGACCTG